CTGAACATGCACCCTGAGCATGCAGCCTGAACATGCACCCTGAGCATGCAGCCTGAGCATGCAGTCTGAACATGCACCCTGAGCATGTAGCATGAGCATGCAGCATGAGCATGCAGCCTGAACATGCACCCTGAGCATGCAGCATGAGCATGCAGCCTGAACATGCAGTCTGAACATGCACCCTGAGCATGCAGCCTGAGCATGCACCCTGAACATGCAGTCTGAACATGCACCCTGAGCATGCAGCATGAGCATGCAGCCTGAACATGCAGCTCGAGCACACAGTCTGAGCATGCAGCCTGAGCATGCAGCCTGAGCACGCATTTTGAGCATGCAGCCTGAGCATGCATCCTGAACATGCAGTCTGAGCATGCACCCTGAGCCTGCACCCTGAGCATGCAGCCTGAACATGCAGCTCGAGCACACAGTCTGAGCATGCAACCTCAGCATGCAGCCTGATGCATGGATCCTGAGCATGCAGCCTGAAAATGCATCCTGAGCATGCACCCTGAGCATGCAGCCCGAGCACACAGTCTGAGCATGCAGCCTGAGCATGCAGTCTGATGCATACAGCCTGAGCATGCAGCCTGAGCATGCAGCCTGAGCATGCATCTGCCTGCGTCCTTGTCTGCTCCAACCTGCGCAGTGCGGGACCTGCCCCACATGCGGCCATGGGGCAAGGGGCAGCTGGGGCTGCACCCCTGCATTGCTCCTTCCCTCCCACACTGCGTTCACATGCACACCTGCATCCCTATGCACACTTGCATCTGTGTGTGCACACGTGTGTGTGCACTGTGCTTGCATGCCTGTGCATGTGCACACATGCGCCCCATGCACACTTGCATTTGTGCACGCGTGTGTGTGCATGCACTGCACCTGCACCCCCGTGCACACTCGCCTTTGCGCACTCGCCCATGCGTGTGCGCAGGTGCCGTGGGCTCCTCGTGCAGCAGCGCCGCATGCAGTGCAGATGCACTCGGGGTCCGACCGTGCTCGGCACCGCGCCAGCCCAGCCCGGTTGCTCCTGCGGGCCCAGGGCACCCGGCGGCAGCTCCTGGTGCCTTTGGAGCGCCCGGCTGTCGGCAAACACCAAAGGGGCTGGTGCTGCCAGGGCGAACGCGGGGCTCTGCGGGCTGGCGGCGGGGCGGCAGCTTCCTGCCAAGGGCAGCGCGAGCACTTGTCCGCAGTGCATGCACCCTGCAGCGTGAACCCCCAGGCAAGCAGCCCTGCGGTGCATGCGCCTGCAGCGCGCATCCCTGCTGCACCCGCCTGCTGCGAGCGCTCCCGCAGTGCAGGACAGCTGCAGCGCATGCAGCCCTTGTGCCCAGGCTGCTGCTGTGCTGGGCAGAGACTCGGGTCCCCTTTCGCCCCACACAGCCCCTGGGAGGGCCGGGCTGCCCCATGGGGAGCCCCGGAGCGCCGGAGGGACCAGCCTGTGGCTCCCAATGCGCGACGGGCTGAGCCCCCAGACCAGCGCCCACCGCACCCGTGCAGCCCCCAGGCTGCGTTCCTGCACGGACGGTCCGCAGTGACGCAGCAGCTGCAGCGGCGGCTCCGGGCTGGAACCTCTGCAGGGCCCGGAGCAGCTGCGGGTCCCCCAGACCCCCAAATCCCCGGGCAGAACCTGCGGCTGCTCCGCGTCCGGCCCCGGTGGCCTTGGCCGGGTCTGAGCTGGGCTGTGGGTCACTGAGGTGTGGGGCTGCAGGGGCTGGGGGGCTGCAGGGGCTGGGGGGCTGCAGGGGCTGGGG